AACAGCATCTGGCTGGGGAAAAATATTTATGTATTAAACAAATCTCCTACCCTGGATTCAGGAGTAGGTTATTGAAAGAAGGTGTGTTTGTGAGACTTGGCTAGTCTTTAAACACACAGCAAGCATGCACACTTGAGCTAGCTTCTTATTATGATTTATGCAACAATTCTCCCTATAAATGATTACAGGATTAACCAGAATTTAAATCTACCTACAGAGTCAGCTAATTCTGATCTGGTGTAAATAACCAGTGATATGTTGGCCCCTTCTTAATCTCAAGGCCATTTTCAACAATGGCCTCACTTCGTCACTCTCTAGAGCAGTGGTTCTCAACCTGTGGGTCGGGACCCCATTTGGGGTCGAACGACCATTTCACGGGGGTCGCCAAACAAGGCTGTCCGCCATTTTTCCCCCTTTTCTTTGGCCACGCCCCTGGCACCCGGTGATGTATAAGTGATTGGGGGTCACCACAACATGGGGAACTGTATTATGGGGTTGCGGCATTAGAAAGGTTGAGAACCACTGCTCTAGATCCATCAGTTTTGAGGAGGATGTTGGCCAGCAGCTTGCTCCACAATCATTCATTTTTCATTCTGGTTGAACTTTGCCTGCTACTTCCTGGTTTTTCTTCATGTGAAAAAAAATGACCATTTGTTTTAAAATACGGTGTAAACTTTCCCATCATTGTTTGGGACGGGGGTTTTGACTGAAGCTCATAATAGAAGGAATGCATTATTTGTTGGAACTACATAATAGAAAGACCTTGGAAGCAGAGGCACATGTGAACAGACTATAGACAAAAAAAAAAAAAATGGACTGGAATAACATGGAGTGTCTAGTAACTGGGGATATGGAAGGGGACCAAAGGAAGTATCTCTGGATCAGTTCATCCATTTTCACCAAGTACCTTATGGATGCCCCTTCCATCTTGTGCCCATCTGTGTTACCTTCACACATCTTTTGATGATGGTGGAATTATAGTAGTGGGTAACCAAGCCAGTGATCTGGTGACGAAAGCTGCATTTATTTTATTTACTGATCAGATGTTTATCCCACCTTTATTACTTTATACTCTTTCCTCCTCTTATTTTCCCCATAACAACAATCCTCTGAGGTGGGTTGGGCTGAGAGAGAGGGACGGATCCAAAGTCATCCAGTAAGGCAGGACTAGAACTCACCATCTCCTGGTGATTGGCTCAAAGTCACCAGCCGGTTTTCATTCCTGAAGCAGGACTAGAACTCGCAGTCTCTGGGTGATTGGCCCAAACTCGGCCCAGCCAGCTTTCATGCCTCAGGCAGGACTAGAACTTACCGTCTCCTGGTTACTAGCCTGGTGCCTTATTCTAGTCCAACCCCCTGCTCAGGCAGGAAACCCTATAGTACCATTTCGGACAAATGGCTGTCCAGTCTCTTCCTAAAAACTTCCAGTGTTGGAGCATTCACCACTTCTGGAGGCAGGTTGTTCCACTGGTTAATTGTTCTAACTGTCAGGAAGTTTTTTCTTAGTTCTAGGTTGCTTCTTTCCTTAGTTAGTTTCCATCTGTTGCGTCTTGTCCTGCCTCCAGGTGCTTTGGAAAATAGCTTGACTCCCTCTTCTTTGTGGCAGCCCCTGAGATACTGGAATGCTGCTATCATGTCCCCTCTCGTCCTTCTCTTCGTTAAACTAGACATGCCCAATTCCAGCCACCGTTCCTTATATGTTTTAGCCTCCAGTCTCCTAATCATCTTTGTTGCTCTTCTCTGTACTCTTTCTAGAGTCTCAACATCTTTTTTACATCGTGGTGACCAAAACTGGATGCAGTATGTAGGGTGTTAACCTGTGGATCTTGTGTTATTGAGATGCTGGAGTGTGAATTAACCTTTTGGTTTGGTTTTCTCCCCCCCCTCCCCCATTGTCCTACAGAGCAAGCTGTGCAGGAGACTGCTGACACGGAAGTGTATGTGAGGAGACGACCACAGCCGCCTGTTCCCAAGCAGCTTCATGAGGAGACTCAGTGGTAAAGAAAATAGGAAGCCGATGAATCACAGGAAGGATCCTGACAGTTAGAACAATTAAGAAGAGACTGGACAGCCATTTGTCCAAAATGATATAGGGTATCCTGCCTGAGCAGGGGGTTGGACTAGATGACCTCCAAGGTCCTTTCCAACTTTATTATTTTATGTCCTATGTTCTAAATCTAACCGATACCTCATCTCAAGCCAAAAGAGGAGACACTATGCTATGCCTGATGTATATTTGTTTATATTTCTTTGAAGGCGATGGAACGAAGGTTGCGGGGTGATTTAGTAATAATTCTTGTAGAACTATCTAAATAGATTTTTGAAACTGAAAACCAGACTGCTAAACCACAGATACGCAGTTTTCAAACCTGTCCAAACTACGGCTTATCCTTAAAGTAAGAACAATCGTGTCTGAGATCTAATTTGGACAACCGTATCTATAATATCTTTAAAGATGTAACAGCCGTCAGGTTTTGAGAGACATGTTAGCAGATCAGCTTTAAAATGAAACAGAGTAAAGGAGAATATTTGTAGTTTCAGGGTTTTAATGAGGGGCCCTCGACGCTCTGAGCTTAGTTTTTTTCTTGCAGACGTTTCATTACCAAACTAGGTAACATCATCAGTGCTCTGTTCATGATCTTCCACGGATGATGTTACCTAGTTTAGGTAATGAAATGTTTGTAAGAAAACAACCAAGCTCAGAGAGCATTAAGGACCCCTCAGTTTTAAAATACTGGTACATTTCTAGATATGGAGCTTTGCAGATACTGCCCAGTAAGAATTTCTTGTTTTATTTCCCTTCCTATTTTTTTCTTTTTTTCTTGCAGATTTGGAACCACTGGCAAATTCTAGACTTAGAGTGCTGGTGAGTAGGTTTTTCTGCCTTTGGTATGATGCTCTCTGAGGTCTAATGCGTTATTCAAAGTTTTAATGTATAAAATCCTCAAACAGCCATTTTCTCAAAGGTATTTTCCATTATACCTCCCCACGCTTTTTCCTCCTCGCCATTTTCCTTCCTACGAGTTAGTCCTTGACTTAACCAGCGTTCGTTTAGCGAGCTTACGAAGTTACCAGAGCACAGGAAACAGTGATTTACTTCAGAAATATCTGAATTTGCTAACATTTCACAAGGTCCCTCAAATTTTGCAAGATTCCACTGCTCTTGCCTCAAAAAAAGAAATGGTAGAATTTCGTAGGACTTGGTTTAAATTGCAAGAGCGTGGTGGTTTGACCCCCAGGCCACCTCATGATCGGTTCACTAACTGCCAAAGTACAGTAAATATCAGAAAATAGTCCTTTTCTAATCTGGAGACCCTGATTTTAATCAAAGGCAAAGGTCCTCTCTTTATCTATGGAGAGTCTCAGTCATCCGAGTCATGGTTGACCCAAAGGTGTTTTTTCAAAAGGCAACTGGACTTTTCTTGGTTTTGCTTGAAGATATTTCACTTCTCATCCAAAAAGCTTCTTCAATTCTTCAGTTCAGAACCGAAGGAGTTTCTAGGATGAAAAGCGAAACATCTTCAAGGAAAAACAAAGAAAGTCCAGCTGCCTTTTAAAAAAGCAGGGTCCTCTCTTTGGTTTCCAAGGAGAAGACTTCCCAAAGACCACTGAGCATAAATAGAGTGTCTACCAAGCCAAATACGATATTCAAAAAGACGCTGAGACTCTAGAAAGAGTGCAGAGAAGAGCAACAAAGATGATTAGGGGACTGGAGGCTAAAGCATATAAAGAACGGTTGCAGGAATTGGGTATGTCTAGTCTGGTGAAAAGAACTAGGGGTGACATGATAGCAGTCTTCCAATATTTGAGGGGTTGCCACAAAGAAGAGGGAGGGGTCAACCTATTCTCCAGAGCACCTGAAGGCAGGACAAGAAACAACGGATGGAAACTCATCAAGGAGAGACGCAACCTAGAACTAAGAAGAAAATTTCCTGACTGTTAGAACAATTAATCAGTGGAACAACCTGCCTCCAGAAGTTATGAATGTTCCAACACTGGAAGTTTTTAAGAAAAGAGATTGGACAGCCACTTGTCTGAAATGCTATAGGGTTTCCTGCCTGAGCAGGGGGTCGGACTAGATGACCTCCAAGGTCTCTTCCAACTCTGCTGTTCTGTTAAATCCCCAGTGGGCCATTCTCACCAGCTTGACATTTTCTCACTTCCCATTCAGTCAATCTCCAAAGAATATTCTGCTTGTTCCTTTCCCAGCCTAAGCAGTAGACGTTGACACCTACTTCCTTAGTAGAAAGAAAAAAAAGACTTCCTTTTTTTTTTTTTAAGAAAAAAAAAGGGGGGAATTTTTTTTGTTTTCCCGTTCGCACCCGCTGCAAAAAATGTTTTTTTGACACAACTGGTCAACTTTGCTTGAGAGTTTTTTTTTAATGCTGATGAGAGCTGTGCTCGCTGCTCCTTCAATCCTTTGCTCCTTCTGTTTCCACAGCTGCAGACTGAACGCCTGGGTCCCCCCCCAACAGTGCCTCCTGCAACACGGGGTGCTTCCCTCCCACCCCCAATAGAAACCCCCACTTGCATCCCTCTGGCTGTTGGCAAGGTTTTTGGAAAAAAGTTCAGAATGGGGAGAACGTGATGGAGGCAGCGATCCTGAGAAGAGTTGCATCCAATTGCAGGAGGGCTTTCAGATGTCACTTTCCCCACTCATCTGCACAACCCCCCCCCCCTTTGAAGCTTCTGTGCAGGGTTTCTGCAGGACCTGGGCTGGCCTTTTTGCTCTCTCCCTCCCCAGCAGCTCCTTGAAAATCTATTTAGCAGCATTTCCTTCCTGGCCTGCTTAAAAGTTGCACACCAAGCAAAGTGCCTGACTCAAGCCTTCTTTGCTAAGCCCCTTGAGGCCTTCCTCTGTGTGTATGTGGGGGGGGAGACACAGAGAGAAAGGGGGGGGGGATAAGGGAAGGGAGGAAGGTGAAGGAAGAGAGAAAGAGAGGGAAGGGAGGAAAGGAAAGAAAGGAAGAGAAAAGGAAGAGGAAGAAGAAAGAAAAAGAAAGACAGAAAGACAAAAAAAGAAAAGGAAGGAAGGACAGAAGGAGAAAAAAGAAAGAAAGAAAGAAAGAAAGAAAGAAAGAAAGAAAGAAAGAAAGAAAGAAAGAAAGAAAGAAAGAGAAAGAAATCCTAAGTTCACGGAAGGGTTAGGGTTGAATTTTAGTTCAATAAGAAAAAGAGAAGAAAGAAAGGAAAGAAGGAAGAAAAGGAAGAAAAAAAGACAGGAAAGAAAAAGAAAGAAAGAAAGAAAGAAAGAAAGAAAGAAAGAAAGAAAGAAAGAAAGAAAGAAAGAAAGAAAGAAAGAAAGAAAGAAAGAAAGAAAGAAAAAGAATTCCTAAGTTCATGGAAGGGAAAGATGATTGGAGATACAGACAAGGATGGCAGAAGACATTTTGCTGCTGGAGATCGGTGGGTGATGCCCTCTTCCACATTCCAGGTGCAGAATTCCAGCTGGACTGTATTTTTTTTTTCAGCTCTGAGAGGCAGATAGTTCCTGCAACTGTATTTGAAACAAAAACCTACAAACTGAGTTGCTTAAAATCATGGCCAAAGAATTCAGAGGCTTCCACCATTGACAAAATCCTCACCAGTCAATTGCAAAAGGCAGCTTTACATGGAACGGCTTACATCCTGCAACGATTCAGAGATTGGACAGCCATTTATCCAGAATGGTATAAGGGTCTCCTACTTGAGCAGGGGGTTGGACTGGATATCTCTTAAGTTCCCTTCCAGCCCTATGCTTCTATACTCTAAGTACGGGATACACCACTGATATATTTAGCTCAATCCATTCCCATGTGGGGGAACTCAGGCCCTGCAGAGAAGATGAATGACAACCTACAGTTAGTTGCCTGGCAGCTGCACTCACATCTGGAATGCCCCAAGTCAGTGAAGGACAGTTCTGCTAAGGGGCTAAGTTCCTCTCCTTTGCAAAAAATACCATTTTTCTGATTAAAAACCCCAACATTGCTTCATAAGAAACCGCAAAACATTTATCCTTTCCAGCAACATTTCAAAAGCCTTGAAAGATTTCACATTCAAAAGATTGGCAAGTTAACCCTGATGTCTATCTGAAAATGCTGACATTTGAGCGACATCGGGGAGAAAAAAATCTTCCCAGATGGTCACAACAATTTTATTTCATTTTATATTTTATTATTTTATTTTAATTTTTTGAATGCATTCAGTTCACTGTTGATTCCTGGCCACTGCCTGGTCAGAGTCACCAAGGTCACCCAATTGGCTTTGGATATAAGGCAGGACTAGAACTCACAGTCTCCTGGTTTTTAAGCTGGTGCCTTAACCACGCCACCAAATTGGCTTCCAACAATATGAAATTTAAAGATGGAGAAATCAGTGCTATCCTTAACTGGAATCCTAGTCAAAATAGGTCCCTGATATATTTAAGAAGCTTCCTCTCTCTCTTTCAACACCCCCCCTCCAAATAAAACCCTCCAATTTTGGATGCTCTATTTATTTCTGTGGATCAGATGAGGATCCATTGACTCTAGAAAATCTTGAATTATGATTTTCAGTAGCTCCAATTTGGCAGTCTTAAGCAGGCCATGGGTTCTCCTGTTACTATTCAGCTGATGAAGAATATTAGTGGAGAGAAGAGAATAATTGGTCCAAAGAAGACTTGTGTCCTTAAAAAATTGCCAAGGGCAAGACATAATGAAAGACACTTGACTCAAAGTTCCATCCCAAACATCATGTAGGAGATGACCGGGCTGAGCCTGAGGGAGGAGTCAAACATGTCATCAGTCATGAGTCTGCACACCCACAAGAGATCTAAATCCAGCCCCACTGAATTCCTTTCTTATATCCTGCTAATTTCCCTTGGCCATTAGTAGTTCAGATTCTTATAGAGAGCTTAAGCCTGCAATAAATCTTTATACTCATTTGAACTGCCTGACTCTCCTGATTTCCCCAGCGCTTGACAAATGCTATACCACAGGGGTCCCCAACCTATGGTCCGTGGCCCAGTACCAGGCTGTGGCCTGTTGGCCATCGGGCCATGGGAATAGCTGGCAAGGCTTCCCCCACTTGCAGTAATGCCGCCGCACAGAGGCTAGCAGCCTTGTTTGCACATATGTGGGTGCGCTAGCACCACCACCAGCGTCATGCAGGCACTAGAGGCCTGTTTGGGCATGCACTTGTTCCACTGCGGAGTCCAGTTCCACCCAAGCAGAACATAATTCTTTGCAATACGTAAAGAGGGCTGCCTGCTCTTGGCTGCCCCCTAATGGCCATTTTTGCTTCTTCCAGTCCCATCAACGTACAATGCAGTGCATTAAGGAGGAATCCGCGTGTTGGCGGTGCAATTAACGGGACCGCCACGCATTTTACGCGGAGCTCCTCCACGGGCAGAAGGAAACATTCCAAAAATGCATTTTCATTATCAGGGCCAAGCTAAGAAAAAAAACAGGGAAAAAAAAATACCCTATGATTTAATCCTCAAGGAAAATCCCGGCTAAGCCCTCCCAGCTCCGGATTTTGAAAAAGGGGGGGGATCAAGGCGCCTCCTCTCCCCCCCCCCAACCTCCCCAAACGCGTTTCTAAGGCCGGGCTCTTGGCGCTTGCAGCCGGAGACCCTCGGAGCTGTGAGGACGGGCTGCCAGGCAGGCAGGCACCCCCGAGCTTTGCCCGGGCCCCGCTTGGGGTGGAAGCTTTTCGGCGTGGATCTGCCAGCCGCGAGTGGGATGAGCTGGCCGGGGGCGGAGGCGGAGCGGAGGTGGGCAGGGCGCGCACTGGAAGCCCGAGCGAGATGCGCCCCGGGACGCCTGGCCGCCCTTCCCTTCACCGTGGAGGTTGGAGACGGTTCTTCTTTCATTGACTGCGCGCTTTCCCTCAATCTCTCTTTTTTTCCTTTCGAAAAAGAAAGGAAAGGTAAGAAGGAGGGAAAGGGAAAGGATAGATGGAGGGAGGGAGGAAGGAAGGAGAAGGAAGGGAGGAAGAGTGAAAGGAAAGGAAGAAGGAAGAGGGGAGGAGAGGAAAGAGGAAGAGGGAATGAAAGGAAGGAAGGAGGAAGAGGGAAGGAAAGGAGAGGAAAGGAAGGAAGAAGGGGAAAAGGGAATGAAAGGAAGGAGGAAGAGGGAAGGGAAGGAAAGAGGAAGAGGGAATGAAAGGAAGGAGGAAGAGGAAAGGAAAGGAAAGAAGAAGAGGAAGAGGGAAGGGAAGGAAAAGGAAGGAAAGGAAGCACCTTCCTTTTTTCCCTTCCACGTTTCCTCTTTCCCAAGGCCGGCGAATGGGAAGGACTTCCTCCGAGCAGCCTTTGCACTCGCGGTCCTGCGCTCGGCTCGGCTCAGGGGGGGCGTTCTCCTCCTTGGAGCCCCCAAGGGAGCGCTCTCTCCTGGGCTGCCTTTGGCTGGGCAGAGCTCCCACTTCTGGAAAGGAGAAGGGAAGCCGAACCGGGGAGAAAACAGAAGCTGTTGAAATGTCAAGTTTCTTGTTTTCACACGCCGGACGGGCGATGCCGTTGCGTTAAGCGGCTCCTCTGGGGCTTTCGCTTCTGAAACGCCAGCTCTGGTGGCGGGCCAGGATGCTGGGTGAACTCAATAAATGGGGGCTTCTTTAAATCGCAGTTAAGCAAACCAAGTTGCTTGGTTGTGATGCAAACGAAATCTTCTGTTTCATAGCTGGGCAGTGATGGGTGGAAATGGAACAGTCGCTTTTTTTCCTCTTGATGTAAGAACTAAACTTGCAGTGTTTCTCAACCTTGACAATTTTAAGGCATGTGGACTTCAACTCCCAGAATTCCACAGCCAGCATCGCTGGCTGTGGAATTCTGGGAGTTGAAGTCCACATGCCTTAAAATTGTCAAGGTTGAGAAAGGTGTCCTTTAGTTTTTTGTTTTGTTCGGGTTGCTTATCTTTATTTATTTTTTATTACTATTATTATTATTTATTGGTTGTGCTCAGGATAAAGGAAGGCAGTCTGATCTAGTGGTTAAAGCGCTAGGCTAGAAACCGGTGGTGAGTTCTAGTCCTACCTTAGGCATGAAAGCTGGTTAAGTGACTTTGGCCCAAGCACCAGGAGACTGTGAGTTCTAGCGCCCTCCCCCCCATCTTAGTCATGAAAGCCAATTGGGTGGCTTTGGGCCAGTCGTTCTCTCTCATCCCAACCCACCTTACAGGGTTGTCGTAGTGGGGAAAATAGGGGGAAGAAGGAGTATGAAGTATGTTCATTGCCTGGGGTTATTTAAAAAAAATAATAAAGGCTGAATAGCAATCTAATAAATAAAAAATATAACCCACTCACGTTCTCCCAGAAGCTTAGAATGGGAAAGCGTGGCTATATTTAAATGTTAGGCTAAGCCATTGTGTGCTTTGCTTTGCTTTGCTGTGGCTTGACCCCAGCTGTTTAAGAATACCATGATTTAAACTTTCAAGTGAAAATCCCAGCTATAAATCATTTTACAATAGCTTGGCCATAGGAATCGGGCTTTTTCAACCCATCCTGAAAGCCAACCAGGGTGGATTGTCAAGCTTCACCCTCGCCTTGAGTTAATAAAACACAGCGGCTTTGTTGACTGGCAGTGCTTTGACTCATAGGTCTTTGAAGATAATAGCGGCTTCCCACAAGTGCTGTGTGCCAAGTGACGTGGTACCAAACCTACTTCGGCTTGCTGAGTTTGTTCTTTCTCTCACAACGATGTCTAGAGGATTGGTATAACAGTCTTGCAAGATTTGTTAAGATCAGTGCTGCAGACGGTGGTAGATTGGTAATTTCTATTCAATTCTATTCTATTCTATTCTATTCTATTCTATTCTATTCTATTCTATTCTATTCTATTCTATTCTATTGCATTCCACTCATTCTACTCTACTCTACTCTACTCTACTCTACTCTACTCTACTCTACTCTACTCTACTCTACTCTACTCCACTCCACTCCACTCCACTCCACTCCACTCCATTCCATTCCATTCTTCCACTCCATTCCACTCCACTCCACCTATCCTGTCCTGTCCTATCCTATCCTATCCTATTCTATCCTATCCTATCCTATCCTATCCTATCCAAGATTTGTTAAAAATATTTGTTAAGCTCAGCGGTGCAGACTGTAGTGGTATAGTGGGTAACCAAGTGCAGATGTGAACTATATCTTCTAAGCTGACACTTTAATCAATATGATAATCACTCTTCTGTATTAGTGCAAAGTAATCTCTGCCCAGCTTAGCAGTCCTTCTTTATTTTCTGTTCTTTGCTGTTCCAGGAGATGAATACCTACAGTGTCTGCAGTGGCATATTTCTGGTATCATGGTGGATCCGCCTCTGTTTTTAATATTACAGTCTTTTCAACCCTCCAATTAACTTGACAGGTAGGTAAATACTGTATTGTTCCCCTGGTTTTCACAGAGCCAAGATTGGAGAAAGCAAAGGTTATCCAAGGCAGAATAAAACTTGAAATGTCAACTTCCTCATTAATAGCTCAGATGCTCTACATTTTAAAAACACCCAAAAGTAACAGAAATCTAATCTGTTGAGAAAATTACGCCTAGAGATAACTTCGAAGAAGCTGAAGTGTGCACTTACTGGGGAAAAAGAGGGCTCTTGCAATTAACTTTAGTGGGAGGTGTTAGCAGCAAAGAACGGTAATGCGACAAGCTGCTAGAATTGCATTTTGTACAATGTTTTTCCTCTCTGACTCATTTGTACACAAACAGATTCTTAATTTAAAAGTTATTGTCACCAATAACAGGATATGAGCTTATCCAAGCTGCGGTCAAAGGGGACGAGATACAATCTTTTGTGTGTAAACCACAGTTTCTATGGTAGATTTTTTAAAAAAGAGCAGGAAACTCGCCCACATTTTGCTGGCGAGATTCATTTTCTAATAGTAAAACCCGTTTAAACAACGACAAAATCAGTTATTTTATCCCGTACATCATCGTAAACGTGTTTATTTGTCCTTTGGGGAATTAGGTTTGGGAATGGCAGCGTATGGCTTACTAGGTGTGGTCTTGCCAATTATGGCTTATTACCAACCATGGTTAAGTAAATATTTTGATGTAATGTGGAAGAGAAGTCTGTTTGGCCAGCTAAGCTGAAAGGGGTTTATTGTGCTTTATTAAGTGAACGGAAATAACAGATAACTTGAGGCAATAAAAATTCATCTATTAATATTTTAGCGTTATACCAATATTGACCCATCGTATAGTCTAAGAGATAACCTTATACATAATCCCTGTAAAGTATAAGATTAACATGGGAAAATGATACGATACGAATCAGCTGTAAGGACAGGACTCTGTTAAATTTAGTGGTATAAATTTGAATGGAATAAAATGGAATAAATAGAATGGAATAAAAATACCTTCCAAGTGACATCTATAGAAGCAGTCCTTGGCTTACAACAGTTCATTAAGTGACTGTTCAAAGTTGCAACGGCAGTGGAAAAAAAAGATTTATGATCGTTTTTCACACTTGCAACGGATGGCAGAATCCTCACGGTCATGTGATCAAAATCCAGATGCTTGGCGACTGACTTATATTTATGACAGTTGCACGTGATCCCCTTTGGTGACCTTTTGACAAAGGAAGTCAATGGGGAAGCCGAATTCACTTAAATTGCTAACTTAAGAGCTGCACGGATTCAAGAGCTGAAGGGCAAAATTCACAATGGTTTCACTTAGCAACAGGAATTTTAGGCTCAGTTGAAGTTGTAAGTCGAGGACCCCCTATATGAGAATCCAAGTATGGAGATTCCTCACATTTGCATTTTTTTTTCAGAAGTATTTTTTCCCCTAAACAATTCCTCTCTCTCCAATGGTCATGGACTGGCAATTTTATTCCAGTCTCCATTTTAATTTGGAATTGATGTTATTCCCTCTCCAGTGGTCATGGAGTTACAATCTTCTCTTTGGAAGGAGAAATAAGAAGAAGGTTGAAAAGGAAAAAACACGTATTATAGTTTATTGGTATCCAATATTTCTTGCCGTTTCCAAGATACGTGTCCTTTCCAAGATAAGGAAATCTGCTATCGTTTTGGTTCAATCCTGGTTATGGCCAGGTTGGAAATGATTTACAAGAAACCTGTGGCTTTTTTAATTTCTTCTGTTTTCCTAATGGAAAGGATAAGATTACAAAAGGGAAATTATAATGAACATAACTGCAGGAGAACCTTAGACTTGCTTGTCACTGCTGTTTGGATTTGAGGTGTCTGTATCTCTGTGCATCCATCGTCGCAGGTTGTGATGATGGAATAGTTTTATCGCTTTGAATCCTGTTTGCTGTTTTTCCCAGCTATTTTCTCTTCTGTTTTGTCCAGATCTTGTTGGAAAGTGGACCTGATTGTTAGACTCCTAGGGAAACAGCTCGTCTTGGCAGTCATGGGATCTGGCTTGATTGGTGCATCGGTGTTCCTTCTATGCATCTGGTTACGTGAAGGGAATTCACAGAACCTCCTCATGGACCAAAAAATGAAGCCAGCACTCCTGATTAATGAAGTCAATGCAGATAATCCCGGAGAAGACACCATGGAGTATTTGGAACTCTATCATGTCAATGGACAAAGAGTGGCTTTGAACGGATATCATTTAGTCCTCTACAACGGAAAGGGAAACAAGGCCTACAAAGTCATAGATCTTGGTGGCTTCTCCACAGATGACCAGGGTTTTCTCCTGATTGGGTCTGGCAGCCTTGTCCCAAGGCCAGCTATCATCCTCCCAAAGAGCACAATCCAGAATGGACCGGATGCAATTGCTCTCTACTTTGGGCGATCGGACTTGTACGAAGGCATGCCTGTAGACAACAAAGGCCTGGTGGATGCTTTGGTGCATAAATCTAAGAAAAAGGACAACGCAGACGAGTTGGTTCGTGTGCTGACCCCTGGCACGGAACCTTTCTTGGAAGACCCGTTATTCCGGACCACCGATGATGAGTCTCTGGAGAGATGCCAAGGGGCGGATTCTCAGAGCTTCTTCCAAGTGGGAGCGCCGACCCCAGGCTCAGACAACCACTGCATCCCTTTCTCACAGTTGAACGCCTCTTTGGTGCTGATCAGTGAGGTTAAGTTGGCATCCTCTGCTGGGGACGCTGAGTTTGTGGAGCTCCAAGGTCCCCCTTCCCAAGTGGTAAAGGACTTGATTATGGTGCTGATTGAAGGAAGCACCCAACAGATCTACTCTGTCATGGAGGTCAAGGGTGAAACTTCTCCTGATGGGTTACTTCTGTTGGGGTCAGGACTGTCCGAAATTCCAGGTAGGGCTAAATACTTTCTGTATGTCTGTTTGTCCGGTTTTTGACCCAGGATCCATTGGCCAGCACAATCAGTAGCCATTGGCTAGATCAGAGGGATAGAATCAAGATCACGTGAAGTATTAATACCACTTTACAATGCCTTGGTAAGGCCACACTTGGAATACTGCATCCAGTTTTGGTTACCACGATGTAAAAAAGATGTTGAGACTCTAGAAAGAATGCAGAGAAGAGCAACAAAGATGATTAGGGGACTGGAGGCTAAAGCATATGAGGAACAGCTGCTGGAATGGGGTATGTCTAGTTTAATGAAGAGAAGGACCAGGGGGGACATGATAGCAGTGTTCCAATATCTCAGGGGCTGCCACAAAGCTATTTTCCAAGGTGCCTGAAGGCAGGACAAGAAGCAACGGATGGAAACTAATCAAGGAGAGAACCAACCTAGAACTAAGGAGAAACTTCCTGACAGTTAGAACAATTAACTGTTCTAACTGTCAGGAACAACCTGCCTCCAGAAGCGGTGAATGTTCCAACACTGGAAGTTTTTAAGAAGAGACTGGACAGCCATTTGTCCGAGATGGTATAGGATTTCCTGCCTGAGCAGGGGGTGGGACTAGAGGACCTCCAAGGTCCCTTCCAACTTTATCATCATCATCATCATCATCATCATCATTATTATTATTATATATCACACTAGGAAATTCTGACCCCAAAGGTGGTTGTAAGTTGAGGCATACCTGAAGTCCTTGACCTACAACAGTTCGTTTAGCGACTGTTCAAAGTTACAACAGCAGTGAAAAATGTGAGTTATGACCATTTTTCACACTTACGACAATTGTGGCATTCCCCAGGGTCACATGATCAAAATTCGGACGCTTGGCAACTCACATTTATGACGGTCGCCGTGTCCCCTGGGGGTCACGTGATCCCCTTTTGCAACCTTCTGACAAACAGAGTCAACGGGGAGGCCAGATTTGCTTCACAGCCATGTTGCTAACTTAACCACCGCAGGAATTCACTTAACACATGTGGGAAGAGAGAATGTAAAATGGGGGCCAACTCACTTAACAACTGTCTCGCTTAGCGATGGAAATTTTGGGCTCAGTTATGGTCATAAGTCGAGGACTCCCTGCCTTTAGGAAGCTCTGGCTTAGCCAAGCAGCATGATCAGAAACGATGACTGTGTTCACGTGACGTGTTAAACCAGGGGTAGGCAACCTCGGCTTTTTTACGACTCACGGACTTCAACTCCCAGAATTCCATGCTGGGAGTTGAAGTCCATGAGTCCTAAAAGCACCAAGGTTGCTTACCCCTGTGTTAAAAACAATGTGCTTCTGCACAAAATTACAGTTGCTAAGGCGAACGCTGCCATTTACAGGCACGGCGCGCCCTCCTCTGTGCAAGACGCAAGCGACTTTATTTTAGCACCTTGCGAGAATCTAGCACTTGTTTGAGAAGCTGTAATCCTTTCTCCTAGGAGGAGAAAGCTATGTAAATAGACACTTGACCTTGCCAGAAGATGCCTTCTCTCTCGGAAGGCGTGCTTGACTCTCAGATTCGTCTGTTGAGCATCTTGCCTGCCCAACTACCTGTAGAGGCCACATAAAGTTCTCTTTCTTTCAGGCGGTGCAGCTCACTCGCAGCCCCTCCAGAATTCCAGCACCTCCCTCCTCAAAACAGGCACCAATGCCATTGCCCTGTACAGCGGGACCATCAGCCACTTTGTGGTGGGCTCCGGTGTCCCACCGATATCAGGCCTTCTGGATGCCTTGGTGTACACAACAGTGGGACAGCCGGATTCGCAGCTGCGGGACCTCTTGAGCCCCAGGAAGACTCTCTTCTACGTGAGCGAACAGTAAGGAAGCTGAATGCCAGCAGAAATGTTCTGCTAATCCTTGCAAAAGGAAGCCTGCTCGTGCCGAAACAGATTCCCAAATTCTAGGACTTGAGAATGAGGGGCAGACAGAAAGGTGAAAAGTGCTACTTTGCTGGAGCCAAAATATGCATTTATGGCAAAGCACGGCAATCTGGAACAACCACGAGGGAGGTTGTGCTATTAGTTTGATTTACTTTGCAGTCTGATTTACCTGTCGGTTGAATGCCTTCCTTCGAAAGCATATCAGCCCTGGTGGCACAGGGGTTAGAATGCAGTACTGCAGGCTGACTCTGCCAACTGCCACGAGTTCGATCCTCACCGGCTCAAGATTGATTCAGCTTTCCCTCCTTCTGAGGTCGGTAAAATGAAGATCCAGATTATTTGGGGCAACAGGCTGACTCTGTAAACCACTTAGAGAGGGCTGTAAAGCACTGTGGAGCAGTATAGAAGTCTGCTATTGCTATTTTCCTTCCTTCCTTCCTTCCTTCCTTCCTTCCTCCCTCCCTCCCTCCCTCCCTTCCTTCCTTCCTTCCTTCCTTCCTTCCTTCCTTCCTTCCTTCCTTCCTTCCTTCCTTCCCTGACTGGCTCATGGTTGACTCAGCTTTCCATCTTTCTGAGGTTGGTAAACTGAGGACCCAGATTGTTGGGGAAAATAGGTTGACTTTGTAAACCACTTAGAGAGGGCTGTAAAGCACTGTGAAGCGGTATATAAGTCTAAGTGCTAAGTACTATTGCTAACTGCTGCAGTGATTAATTTAACAGCCATGGCAAAAAAGGGCATGATTCATTTAACAGCTGCCTTGCATTGTGGTTGTAAATCAACCACAATGTGAACATGTTAGAAGGGCTCTCAAAAAATAGCTCATTCCATTTAGCAAAGCATCTCCCTCGCCCATTTTGCAGAAGATAAACTATTAAAATCATTTCAGCCATTTTTCTACTTCTCACATTCTCTTTCGGCCTTTCCCTCTGATTATTTATGGACCTTTCTCTTCCCCTTTCTTAATTTTCATCAGATCCCAGCAGAATGGTGCATCCGTGAGCCGGTGCGTCTGCTGCTCCGTCTCCCGCGATTCGTCCTCTTACGCCCTTGGCAAGCCCACACCTTTGCAGTTCAACGACTGCCCGAAGAAGCGCTTTAGCCAAAAAGTTTCCTTTTGTTTTCAAATAGCAGGTAAGTGCTGCCTGCTGGAGACAGTGGGGGACCTGTGAACTGAAGCATGGGATTGCACCAAACATACTACAGTATAATGGTTTGTGGGAAAGACCTCAGGGAAATAGGCCAAGGGAAGAGTCAGGTAAGGGACAGCATAGCCCTCAGCTGAATAATGGTTGGGGCAAGAAGAAGAAGCCCTTCGTAGTTTCTCAGGCTTTAAAAGAGACCGTGGAAGATTTGTCCTTTCAAACCTGTGAGATTCTGTTAACTGCAACATAATGTGTGGTCCCGATCCTTTCCACCTGACAGGGAGGATGTAAATGCATTAAGCAAACTAAGTGGAGATACAAATATCTTCTCTGTCTCTTCTGCTAATCTTCCTTCTGTGTCTTCTGTACCTTAAGATTGCCAACAAAAACCTCAGGATGAAAGCACAATTCAGAGAGTTTTGGCCCAGTCTCTGGAGCAACAATGCAACTGCAGTTTTTCCCCGGCGTATTTCAAAGGTAAAAAGCTGTGTGGTCTTTCTCTTGGAGTGTTTCAACCCCTGTGTCGAATGAACCAACAAAGCTGGCTGAAATAACCAACAAAGACGATGGTTCCAGGTTTTTGCAAAACCTTCCAGTAAGATCCTTAACCACCTCACGAAAGAGGCTAAGACATCACTGGATAAGTTTATTTGTGGGAAATGTCCTCATGCAATGACTGAAACCAAAGGAAGGAAATCTTGTTCTTTCGTGGCGTAATCTGTGGCAGGAAAGACGATTCGGTTGGCTGGTTCCTTAAATGGTGTAAACCAACAGTCTGAATATAATAGTTCAGGTGATGATGAAGCAGCCATTTGCGTTTGGGTAAATCAAACCAGGATATAGTCATAAATACGGTTTGATTTACTCCCTGCTCTTCTAGCGCGTGTTGAGTATATAAGTAACAAACTGTAAAATGGAAATGAAGTGAAATTTAAAAGAGATTCATATCAGTGCTAATATTAAAATAGGTAATGACAGTACTTGGAAAGAAATTTGTACAGATTGAGACCAACAATGACATTTTCATTTTACTCCTCTCGGCACAGATCCTGTTTTAACATGTGAAGGCAGAGAACTGGTTTTCACTGCCCTCTTGAGTGCCCGGTCAACAGAACAGCTGGACCGTGAGTTGCAAGCCCTCTCAATCTTGGAGAAGACTGAGGAACTGTTATATTTTGGAAATCAGAACCACAGCATAGCCATTAAGAATTGTTCAAGCAATGCAGATGGGACACACACACCTCCAGGTACAGTAGTGCGATGGAGGGGAGAACACAACAGAATGCAGCTTCCAGGATTTTTAGCTCCCCCCCCCCCAGCACAAGCATTCACCATTCACCATTGTGTGGAACACAAGAATTGCTTGGCCTTATGATAAGCCAGTGTTTGGCAGTTTGACAGTTTGAAGATGGGTGGACTTCAACACCCAGAATTCCCTGGCGATCATATGACCACGAGATACTGCAACTGTTGTAAATATGTGCCTGGTGGATCATGTGACTGCAGGGATGCTGCAACGGTCGTAAGTGTGAAGACTTGTTGCTGTTGTAACTTTGAACGGTTGCTAATCAAACTTCACTAACAAAGTGAACAAAGGCAGGCAATCCTCTTTTCAGGAGAAAAACTTTTGAGGTGGAATGGTAAATTGAACCACGACACGTTGAAGAGCTAGATTATATTTTATAGATTTGATTTTGTTTCTGGAGGATGCCCATAATTTTTAAATAATTGGTTGCAATGCTTGGAGAGCTTTCTAAGTTGACTAACTGTAACCCCCTTCTTCTCTTCAGGGGTCAGGAAAGAAAGATTAGCTAGTCATCCTAGAACAGTGGTTCTCAACCTGTGGGTCGGGACCCCATTTGGGGTCGAACGACCATTACACGGGGGTCGCCAAACAACGCAGTCCGCCATTTTTTCCCCCCTTTTCCTTAGCTGTGCTACTCCCTTTTATTCTATTGGCTTTTGAAAGCCAATAGAATAGACTCTCTTGAATAGAGTCTAATTCTATTGGCTTTCAAAAGCCAATAGGAATTGTCCAGGCTGTCTCTGCCCTGCTGAGCCCGCCAAAAGTCCCATTCTGCAAACGGTGCTGCACCAGTTGAGTAGTCCTCGACTTACGACCGGCTGGGGGTCGCGGCATTAAAAAGGTTGAGAACCACTGCCCTAGAATAAAATGTTTGTATGTTCAGTCTGAAGTGACAAGATTTGGTTCATTGTAGATTTAACTTCGGAAGAACCGAGGACAACCGAAGCACCTCCGATTCCAGCCCTGGAGTTGCTTATCAACGAAGTAAACGCAGACAATCCTGGATCTCGAGAAGATACAGAATACATTGAGCTCTTCTACCCAGGACAAGCACCGTTTTCACTCAAGAATTACTGGCTTGTTCTGTACAACGGCAAGAACAACTTGGCTTACAAAGTCTTGAACCTGACAGGCTACTCCACCAACGAGTGGGGCTACTTCCTTGTAGGGAGTGCTGGAGTGACCCCCAAGCCCTCATTTCTTTTGCCAGATGCCACCATCCAAAATGGTGTAGACGCCGTGGCGCTCTACCGCCACCCCAACCCTGTCTATAAAACCGACATGCAGGTGACTGTGGATGGGCTGGTTGATGCTGTGGTATACAGAGCCCGGGGTACGGATAAAGCAGAGAAGCTTGTGGCTCTTCTCACTCCTGGACAAAATGTCCTCCATGAAAATGATTCCCATAGCACTGAAGACGAGTCCATCAGCCGATGCCTCAGCCTGAAGCCCAGAGATTCCACGAGTTTCCAGGTAACATGGCTGAAGGTTTAAGAGGAGCCGCAGAGATCAGCCAAGACTCCATTTTAGCTTGTGTTTCTTGTTTACGCCATCTTGGTTATGTTTATCTAACACGCCAAGCCCTAATTTGCGTTAGCATAATTGACGGTGCTAATGTTATGCTGTAAACCAGGAGTCTCCAAACTCGGCAACTTTTAAGACTTGTGGACTTCAGCTCCCAGAATTCTGGCTGGGGAATTCCGGGAATTGGCGCACCAATCTTAAAGTTGCCAAGGTTGGAGACCCCTGCTGCAAATCATATTAGCAGCTCACGGAGGGGTTAGCTACAGCCATATGACAGCTTTGTGCAACGTCTGATAACCCTCTCAACTCCAGCCTGCTGCATCAGCATCTAGCGCAATCAAGTCATCTTATCAACTTGAACCACAGTTGATGGAGGTGGGACAAGCTTATAAAGAGATAATTGAGGGGCTTTCCAGAAGGAAACAGGATGTGGACTGAATTAGACTTTGAGTTTATTCCATTAGGGTTCTGATTGTGTTGACTGTTCAGAAATAATGTGTCACCAGTTCTGAGAATTAGGTAAATGGGATGCTTATCACACAAACATCTGGCTGAATGCTGATAGAAGGAAGATACTGGGAGACATGTTGGCCTCATCTGTTCATGTTTTATTTGTATCTCACTTCTATTATTTTTTACAAACAATCCAAGGCATTGAACGTATCCAACACATCTTCCTCCTATGTTCCTCACAACAACTCTGTGAGGTGGGTTGGGCTAAGAGAGAGGGACTGGCCCAAAGTCACCCAGTTGGCTTTCATGCCTAAGGCAGGAATAGAACTCACCGTCTCCTGGTGATTGGCCCAACGTCACCCATTTGGCTTTCATGGCTAAGGCAGGACTAGAACTCACCATCTCCTGGTGATTGGCCCAAAGTCACCCAGCTGTCTTTCATGCCTAAAGCAGGACTAGAACTCACTGTCTCCTAATGATTAGCCCAAAGTCGGCCAGCTGGCTTTCATGGCTAAGACAAGACTTGAACTCATGGTCTCCTATTTCCTAGCCTGGTGCTTTAACCATTAGACAATATTCTTCCCAATATTCATGCATCTCCCACTGTTACAACATTCAGGAAACATGTTTGTTCTCTCCCAGGCCTGGAACAGCATAGTTTTGAAGCCCATTTTAATTATGCTTGGATTATAACTGGGAGGTTTGTTCTTCTGCTCAGTCACAATTTCTTTTTCTATATATTGTTTCCCTTTTTATCTCTTAAGTTCTCCGGAATTCCCAAAGAGTTGGTTGGCCTTGAAACTGGATAATTAAATACAATCAGTCCCTGCCCTTAGATGTTTTTCTCCAGGGCTAAGTTCTGAAAATAAGAGTGACTATAAGGAGCCTTCAGTTGGGGAGAGCCATTAGAAATTTGAAAATGCCCTTTAAAAAAAAAGAACATTGCAGACTCATAATACCTTTTGGGTGCCTTCTCCCGCCCATCTCCCAGGTGACTGAAACAACGCCACTTCAGGAAAACTCTTGTGTGTCTCTCAGCTGGACTCTCACCAAAGAGGTGCTCCATAATTCTTCCACTGTCATCAACGAAGTGGGCCTGGCCAATGACTCATTACTGTACAAGTTCATAGAACTGAAGGGGAAGCCCGGGGACAGCTTAAAAAAATACACACTGCACTTCTTCTTCGGGAACCATAACCGGCCGTACACCAGCATCCACCTGCAAGGCAGATTTGGGAGTGAGGGTCTCTTTGTCGTCATGCCAGGACAAATGTTCCAGAGTGTTAAGCCTAATGGTATGTCGCTGGTCCTAATAAACTGTTCTGTTTGTGTCCTGGTAGTCCTTGACTTACAACCATGCATTCAGTGGCCATCTGAAGTTACAGCGGCGCTGGAAAAAGTGACTCAGGACCGTTTTTCACACTTACAACCCTTGTAGCATCTCTGTGGTCACGTGATCAAAATTCAGATGCTTGGCAACTGGCATGTACTTATGACGGTTGCAATGCCCCCCTGGGGTCATGTGATCCCCTTTTGCAACCTTCTGACAATCAACGTTAATGGGGAAGCCGGATTCACTTAACAACTCTGTTGCTTAAGTTAACAACTATAGTGATTCACGGTGGCAAGAAAGGTTGTGAAATGGGGCAAAATTTGCTTAACACCTGTCTCGCTTAGTAATAGACATTTTGGGCTCAGTTGTGGCCGTAAGTCAAGGACTACCTGTATTTGTGCTTTGGAATGGGAATTGCCTGGCATATTTTTGTCATGCATAAAAACGTTTTACATATTTGGGGCCATGTTATCAGTGTGTAAAGCAGTGGGTGGGTTGTTTTTTTTTTCCCCAATTCACAGAAGTATATTGTACTTGCAAAGATTTTTGTCCATTGTTTCCAGGGCCCGTTAAATCAAGGCTTTACATTTTACTGAGCTAAAACAAGGAAAAGAGTAGCTAGTGAGAAATGTTTAAAAATTGAAATACTGTGCCAGTGAAGAAGTGACAATTGTGAAAAGTATATTAATTAGGTACTTTAAAAGTGTGTGTGTGAGAGAGAACAAGATAATTAGGGGCGCAAAATGGACATGGATGAATACAGAAGTGAGTAACCAGTACCAAGAATGTGTAAAAAGTTAGCAAAAATCACACAGTTGTTGAGAGGGGAAAATTTTAAATCAGTTCAGTTTGAAGCTGTTTGGCAACAGGTTGTCGGTCCAATTTGCCTGCGTTCTCTTAATCAGCAGTTACTTTTTATTGTTTTTATATGAGGTTTTTTTTTTAATCTTTGTAAGCTGCCCGGAGTCACTGAGAATAAGTTGGGCACTAATATAAATTTTCTTAAATAAATACTTTATGGCTTTTTTTAAAAAAAAATGCTGGTCCTTCATTAACTTGATCCCGTTTCTTTCCAGAGCAGTTGATGATGCCCATTCTCTGGAATCATTCTTTCCCAAAGCAGGAGAACCTGACGGTGGCGCTATTCAGCCGAAAGCTGCGGCTTCCTTACGGTACTCTAAATATTGCCGAGAAAATAGAATACCTTGTGACGTGGAATCCTGGGATGATCTCTCAAATACCCTTTGTATCTGGGAAAAGAGAAAGGTGAGCATCTTGTATTCCTACAGTGCCTTGTCCTTTCCACTCTTATTCTGCATTTTTTTTCTGTAAAAACTAAGGAGGGTCCCTTCTGAGAATTTGCCACGCCCACATTTCTTCTGTAGGCTCAATTGTCTCTTATGCAAGTGTTGTCTAGTCTGCCACATTTCCTCCTTCTCCCAAGATCATTCTCACATCCCATTAAAGGTAAAGGTAAGATAAAGGTTTCCCCCATCCAGCATTGTCCGAAGATAGTTCCGTGGTCATGTAGCCAGCACTATATACTAAGGCGATCTTCCCACCAAAGTGGTACCTATTTATCTACTTACATTTGCATGCTTTCAAACTGCTAGGTGGGCAGGGGTTGGGTCCATCACATGGTGCTTGGGTCTCAAACTACCAACCTTCTGGTCTACAACCCAACTGTGTCTTAACTGCATTTATTGAAATCCTTTCCTATAACCATTGTTGTGATATTTGCCTGTAAGTGTTTTGGTTCCCCGTGTAATGTTTTGCTTGCTACAAATGTTCTGGGCTTGCTTTTTGTGTCCTTGCAGAATCTGGTCTTTGAGTTATTGCCCTTTTTGCAAGGAAACCTTTCTCATCTCCAACCCCACCCCAGGCATGGAGAATAGCTGTCCTCAAGAGTCTCTGTCCTTGGATCTTGGAATGTGCCTATGGACACCTAGTAAGTGGTCTTTTTTTCTTTCTTGCGGGCAACTGGAGAGAATGATGTCATCCCTTGTGTGATGGAAGGTGGTGAGAAGGCAGATCCTGAGGAGGGAGGACTGCGGTTCAGAAGAGGCAATGCAGTCCAGATATCCTGTGTGAGAGAAAGAGAGTGAAGATAATGTCTCCTCAATAGTTCCCAGAGTATATTGTAGATGCAGACAGTAGAATCTTCAGTCTGGCAAGATTTTGTCTATGGGTGCGAAACAATAAAGAACTCAGCCTGGAAGAATCACCACATGTTATTCCTGGTTTAGGGCCTGACCCATGGTGACTGAGGAATTCTGGGACTTGAAGTCCACACATGATGTGATAGAATGTAGGGAGGAACTGGGTTTCCAGGAAAGGGGGGGGGGGAATGGATTCCAGAGGACTAAGAGGCAACTCAGCCTAGATATGAGTGAGAGAAAGAGGGTGAAGACCACCCGTCCCTCATAGTTCCTAAACTACATTTTCAATACAGATAATAGAGTTCTCAGCATGGAAGACTTCTGTCTATAAAGATGAAACAATAAGGAACTCAACTTAGAAGAACTGCACATTCTCATTCTTGGTTTGGGGCTTGATACCCTGTTTTTTCCCCCAGAAAGGGGCATGATGCTAAACCTGCTGTAGACACAACCAAAAAAGAGAGAGGCTTTTGTATCATTGGACAATGCAAAACATACACTAATTTTTGTGGGGTGGATTTTTTTCTTTTTGCTTTAAGTCAGTTTTTGAGGAGTCCTTGGTGCTCTTTGAGCTTGCTTATTTTCTTGCAGATGTTTCATTACCCAAAGTAGGTAAACATCATCAGTTTAGTCAGCTTTTTTTTTTTTACTTCTAGCAACTGCATGGGCTAGTCCTTGCAGTTTTCTTGGCAAGGTTTTTCAAAACTGGTTTGCCCTTGCCTTCTTCTTGGGGTTGAGGAAGAGTGACTGGCTCAAAGTCACCCAGCTTCATACTAAGGTGGGACTAGTCTAGAACTCATGGTCTTCCAGTCTCTGGCCTGATGCCTTCACCACTATACCAAATCTTTTTAATATGTTTTATATGTTTGGATGTATGACCTTTACATTGTTCTTTATTTTTATATATAAATGTTGTAACGTTGCCCAGAATCAGGTGCTTAAGATAGCTATTCTTCTCTTGATAGACTGTTCCTTCTGGCTTCAAAATCCACAGTTAGAAGCTCACTTCCAGCAGATACTAGTGAGGTCCATGGAAAATAGCTGCTTATGTGCTATCTCTCTCTGTGCTCTGCAAGGTTTGTGCCCAACGTGTCTTTTAAAAAAATAGCATAGTATCGATTGATATTGCTTCTTGAAAACATTGCTAGGGACAATATATTCGTGTCAGAAAAGGCACAGCCAGTGTAAATAATGTTCCTCCACTCTTGGTTTCAAGCAGGGATGCAGAAGCTGGTCTACCCAAACCTGCCTAGAATGTGGTACAGAGAGCTCCTATAAAAATTGCCCACTATCACGTTTTGCAATTTTTAATGAGAAAGGAGAAATTATTCTCTGTGTGGGGAATAACAGTATTGCCTGTGTTTTTCATTCAGTGTTAAATTTATTTATTATTTATTTATTTATGAGACTTATATACCGCTTTTAAGTGCAAGCACTCTCTAAGCGGTGTACACCAGTAAGCAATGTATATATATATATATATTTACATTGCCCCCAACAATCTGGGTCCTCATTTTACCTACCCCGGAAGGATGGAAGGCTGAGTCAACCTTGAGCTGGTGAGATTTGAACCGCTGACCTGCTGAACACAGTCAGCTAAAGTGGCCTGCAGTACTGCACTCTAACTGCTGCGCCACCTCGGCTTAAATTGTCTAGCAATTGTCTAGCAATTTAGCAACAAGGGTAAAGATTTCCCTGTCAGTTGTGTCCAACTCTAGGACACGGTGCTCATCTCTGCTTTCCCAGAGGGAGCCCTTGTTGTCCAAAGAGGCTACTGTGGTTATGTGGCCAGCATCCCACCAAAGTGGTACCTATTTATCTACTCACATTTGCATGCGTTGGAACTGCTAGGTGGGCAGGAACTGGGGCAAGTAATGGGAGCTCACCTCATCGTGTGGCATTTGGGTCTTGAACCCGGGCTGTCAACTTCCAGGTGACAAACGCAGCGTCTGTAATCCATCACATAATAAATCAGTTTAAATGGACCTTCATGTGTGGACCTGGTCTTTCAAGCCTGAATAGCTAATCCATCTTTCTTGTCTTTCCACAGAACTGAATTTCACCTGCTCTGGTACCACACTGAAACTGTCCGGTCGGTTGCTGGCCACGTCACCGGAAGAGCGGCAGCTCCTTATCCAGTGGCAACAGAAATTCTCCCTAAGTTCCAATCTATTTTCTGTGGATGGGATATTCCTCCGAACTAATGCACCCTGTGCATCTTCCAGTGAGGTGGTACCAATAGCTAAAGGTGAGGCGATCAGGTGGTGACCAAAGATATGTGGGGAGAGGAGGAGGAATGAAAGTGACACAGGTGACCCCAGATTCTTCAAGGAAAAAATTTTCTTTCTTCTTTCTTCTCTTTTTCTTTTTCTTTCTTTTTTCTTTCCTTTCTTCCTTCATTCTTTTTCTTTCTTCCTTCCTTTCTCTTTTCTTTCTTTTTTTTTCTTTCTTTCCTTTCTTCCTTTTTTCTTTCTTTTCTTTCTTCCTTCCTTCCTTTCTCTCTCTCTCTCTCTCTCTCTCTCTCTCTCTCTCTCTCTCTCTCTTTCTTTCTTTCTTTCTTTCTCTCCATAATTTTTGCATTGTGACTGATTCCATAAATAAACCATGAAAAGAAAGCACGGATGCCTCTAGCCTTTATATTAATAATACCTTTTTCTCTTTTTTTCCACAGCTTCACTTGAAGGCTGGGAAATTGCTTTTTTGGTCTTGGGTTCCATTTTGCTTATACTGCTGTTAATCGGTGGAACTTTCTACTGTATAAAAAGGTAAAAGAAATAAGAGCTGCTATTGGGATTTGTGCTGAAGCCAAAGCTAGCAACGAAAACATGAACCTACAACATTGATCCAGTATGAACCTGTCTCCATTATCCTGTATGTGTACCTTTGCCCAACCTGGTACCCACCTAATGTGCTGGGCAGCTATTGTATGTGCTCATGTCCCTGGGGGATTCTGGGAGTTGAAGTTGAAGTTAGTTGCCAAGGTTTAGAGAAACACTATTCTAGGATGTTGCTTAGATTCCGCAACCATCTCTGTTCTTTCTGTTAGGAGAAACAGAGCAGAAACAGCCTCATCTCATTAAGCAAATAAAACTCATGCTACTCTCCTAACCTATTTCCTTCTGGGTTTTCCAGACCGCAGAACTACAACAACATTGAACTGAATGATCGCTGTGAGATCATATCAGACATCTGATTCTACCAGGAAGAGCCTCCGTAAAGAAAAAAAACTATTTTGGGATGTAATGAAGAGGTAAATCTCAGAAGACCGTTCCGGCCCACCGAGCACAGTGTAAACGGGTCAAATTCCTGGAGTATTTATTTTGAGGGTGACGTTTTTTCTGTTCCCCCATGGAGTGTGAGAAACCTTTGTTCCTACAGGCATCTCTCACTGCCAGCTTGTGTGAAAAATTGGTGGGGTGCCATGATATTTTCCCCACCCACCATGAAAAAAATGTGATTATTTTCTCCCCATAATTTATCAGTGGGAGTAAAGTGCTTTGCCCACCACAATCAGAGAGAGGGGGGGGAGAGAGAGAGAGAGAGAGAGAGAGAGAGAAAGAGAGAGAGAGAGAGAGAGAGAGAGAGAGAGAGAGAGAGAGAGAGAGAGAGAGAGAGAGAGATTAGCTCACCCTGATGAGAGAGATCTGTTTGAAATTAGCTGACCTTGATGGATTGTTAATCAGGTCTATGGTGGCTTCACTCCCCCTAAGCAATGGACCGTCTTAGTTGTGATGTGTGTTGCCACTGACAATGCGTGCCTCAAATACTGTTTGTCTTTTTAGGGGACTTCGTTCAGGAGAGCTTGCCTCTTTCCATGCAGAGAAAATCTTAGGTTCATTTCCTAGTTCAGGAAACAGGAAAAGATCAGTCCAGGCAAACATTGTCACGAAGCCGTTGGTTCAGGTGACATTTTAAGCTGTGGGCAAGGAGGCAACTGGACGCCAGGCAGGTTCCGAGGCTTACCTCCCATTTCCTAAGCAATAAAAGTCAGTATGTAAGCAAAAGAAATTAAAAATAAAAAGAGGTCAGCCTTGTCCAAACATTCCATTTTCCCCAGAATGAAACTCAGGAATTTGTATAGTAAAAAGTTGACTGTAGCCGTCACCTTGCTCACCTAGCTACCAACTCTGCAGACTTGAATGTCTTGCTCACTGCAAGAAGACCACAGCTAAAATTAAAATATGTTATTTTTATAAAACAATGCCACAAAGAGAAGGTGGTATAAATTGTGAAGGCAATCTTCCATGGGGCAAAGGCCAAATTTATATGCCGCCCTGAGTCCTTTGGGATTGGGCGGCATATAAATAAAATTAAATAAATAAAAATAAATAAATAAATTCAGTATCTCCGGAAATGTGCTGTCCCAGAACCAGCTTCTCATGCCTCTATAGAAGTGAATAGGGGGTCCTTAGTGCTCTCTGAACTTGATTGTATTCTTGCAGCTGTTTCGTTACCCAGCTAGGTAGCATCATCAGTGCTAGAAGGAATTGGGGTTTGCTCCTATAGCATGAATGATGTTACTTAGTTCGGTAATGAAACTTAATCCAAAGAGTAGGTGTGACATTTGCTTTCAGGTACACTTGATTTAACTGGGCTTGTAGAAGCTGCAATTTTAATTTTAATTTTTCTGATTAACTTTTAATCAGCTACTGCCCTCTGCTGATCCGCTAGCATTGCAGCAATTACTAATTAAATTGCCCATCCAAATACAGTACTTTCTGATCCTGTAGAATAGGGGTCTCCAAAACCAGCAATTTCCTTCTATAGAAATAAGGAAGATGAACTTGACAGCAAAGATGTGGTGACTCAGTGGCTTGACGATGCTGGAGGAGATGGTCTCAGCTGTGGCGGTTTGAGCCGTAGTTTTGCCCACCACCATCTTACATTTTTTTCCATTTTTAAAAATCATACTGTTCTCTTGGTTTTTCCAGTTCTGGCATTCGGGGAGTTGTGAAATAAATGTTTAATTGCTAATTCGTTCTTTTTCCTCTGATCATGGAGATCTTATGTTGTTTTTGCTGTCCCTAGGCTGGAAATTTATTTATGGTTGATTGTATTTTATTCTGTTGTGAGCCACAGTGAGTCAGAATGACTGGGTGGCATACGAATGGACTGAAAAATAAAATAAAAAATTGGAACGCAGCTTACTGATTGATTTTCAGTTATGAGACCTGTCAAAGGATCTGAAGGTTCTCTTCCTGGCAATTCTTTAGAGCTTTTTTCCCTCTCACTTTTTCTGTTTTTCATCTTTCTTTGGAAAATGGATGGCTTGGCTTACAACTCTCCCTGTCACAATTAAAGCAAGGATCGTCTACAAATTGGGAAATCCCTTCTCTTTGCCTTTCTAGTTATGCTAAGCAATGGAGACCTTCAGCATTAGGAAGCTGTTAAGTAGAAGCACATTTGTGTGGCCGACAGAAGAGACCAATGTTCATCCTGCACTACAAGTCCTTGACTGACAACAATTTGTTTAGCAGCCATTCAGAATTACAATGGCACTGAAAAAAGTGACTTATGGCCAGTAAGCAAGGGGTGGGGTTCACACAACATGCTTCATCACAAAGTAATAATATGATAACAATCATATGTGAATAAAAGCCAGTTTGGGGTAGTGGTTAAAGCACCAGGCTAGAAACCAGGTGACTGTAGGTTCTAGTCCTGCTTTAGGCATGAAGCCAGTTGGGTGTGACTTGGAGCCCGTCCATCTCTCAACCCTAGGAAGAAGAAAGCGAGGGCCAACCACTTCCAAAAATTTTATGGTTAAAATTTGTTCAGCTTTGCCCACAATGTTAGGATAGCCCTACATCCCATCAAGGCAGCTGGAGAGAAATTTGATGCATGATCCATCTGTGTATTTCGTAACCTCTTAATATCAACATTCACCATAAGATATAATGCCATCCAGTCCAATCAAGGCTGTGAAGCAAGTCGTTTCTCCAGGTTGCAATTGCAAGGCTTCTACCCAGATTTCTAGCTAGATTTTCTGCAACATCTGGAACCTGCTGTGATGCTAGCATGCTCTTCTGCAACATCTTCTGTACCCAGATTTCTGGCTAGATCTTCTACTGGAATATGTTGTGATGCTAGCGGTCTTTTGCAACATCTGGAACCTGCTAATGGTATTAGCAATCTCCCAAAACATCTGGAACCTACTGCATGCTAGCTTGGCCTTCTGCAAAATCTAGAATCTGCTTTTCATTTCCTGAAAAGATGAAGAGTCCTATGTACTACAATTCCATGAGTCCAAACCATGGTAGTTGATGACAGTTGTGGTCCAACATATCAGGAGATTTTCACTTGTTTGTAAAAAAAAAAAAAAAGAATATTGGGTTTTTGTTTTGCAACTTGATTATTCTCATGACTTTGCATGCACTCATCGCTGCAAATCTAGCTTTTTTGGCGTTCTCCTAAACGCGACCCCGCCAACAGCAAAATTCGCCTGTCTGGCCCTTTAAAAAAAGGGGGGGGAGGAGTCGTAACCTTGGAGACAGAGGCGTCTAGGATTCCAGCGCCTTTTCCCTGTCGCCATCTTTGACGCCATCCGCCTGCGCCCAGCTCTGCGGAAGGCGCCAAACTACGTCACCGCGAGCGCGACGGTAGGAGCAACGGGCGATCTCTGAGGATGTAAGTAGCGGAGAGGCGATAATCCGTCGCCATCTGGCTCGGGGACGGCCGCGAGAGCGGCGGGAAGCGGTTCGCCGAGCCGCTGAGGGCCTTCTCAGCAGGGTCGGCCTCGTGGAGGAGGGTGAGCCCGCCTCGGGAGTGCGGAAGGCCCGGACGGAAAGTGGGGAGGGGAAGCTCCTCTGAATCTGCAGGACGGGGCGGCGTGCGGGTGGGTGACGTAGAACCAAGCTGGCTCCGCCCCTTTCTGGCCTCTTGCTCAAAGCAAGCTCCTGTTGGAGCTGTTCCCCTTTTTTGGGGGGGGGGGGAAGGCACTGGGTTCCCCAATGATCCATTGTAGAACTTGAAAGTAATTTTTGCACCGCTTATAGACAGATTCCGCCCTGTAAGGTTTTACACGGTTTGCTGCCGTTGCTTTTGCAAAAAAAAAAAAAAAATCTGATTTATTCCAGTTTTTTTGGAAGCGGGGGAGAGGCAGTTCTGTGCCTCCCTTCATTTTTTTTTTTTAAATGGAATTATGCACCACTTCGATCCAGTTGGATTCTGGGTAGTTTTCAGGGTGTATAATAACGCATAATAATAACATAATAATGCATAATACAGAGATATAACATGATATTTCGCTGTAATAAAACTCAAGTCTTGCTTTGGTGGCTTCCCAAATGGTTCTCCCAATTTTACAAAAGGCCATATGTGTATCTGGTAGATAGGCTGGAATTCGGATGCTCACTCAGAATAAAATCTCACCGGAAGTGCTTTGGTTTTGTAACTTGTATTTCTTTCATATTTAAGTAGCAGAGATAGTGGTGGAGCTTGATATGAGGGTTGAAATAAAGGTAGGATAAGGGAGAGTAGCAGTGAGATAAAGTAAATGTTATCTGGATATTTTTTATGGTGCAGTAAGAAAATATCTTGTTCCATCTCTTAAAAAATACTAAATTGCAGGTTTGTTTAAATGCCAACAGAATGTCATAACTAACAGACTCTCTTAATTTATGCCTTCCAGATGAGACAAATGCTTACAGCATTCCAAACTAACATATTTCAGTATCTAAATAGTCAAATAATCTCATAGTGCCTGTTGGGGCCCCGATATCTAAAAACTGTAGTACAAAGATTAAAATATATTTAGCAGTTCTTCCTCTTTCCAAAAGGCTGACCCCAATCATATTTGCTGGGGAAATGCTTGTATATACTTAAGTAGAAATATATGCATATATAATTATTACCTCTACAGCATACTATTGACTAGAGAGTATATCTTTTTAACATGCTGCTATGTACCTTATACTGAAGATTAAAAGCTATAGAAAAGTTATTGCATCTATATCGGTCAGAACATAGTGCAGAATTGTTTTGTTTTACTATGATTTGTTGAATAGCCAGGTCTGGCTCACATATAAAGTTAAGCCATTAACCACTGATCATGTTTGGTTGGATCACACATATCCCATGTTCTTTAAGCAGAAGCTCTAAGTCAGGGAGCCCTGCCCTCAAATTTTATTCATGCTTAGTTTTATTCATATTTAATTTTTAATTTAATTTCATATTTAAAGATTCCATCCGTATTTGTGTCAAAGCTAACCAAGGAGACGCCTGAATCCCAAAAATTATGCAGCCTCCAATGATGCTCCTTTCATATCCCCTGCCCCCCCCCTCCCCCCAATTTAAAGATTCAATTCTGGGAAAACTTTAGACAGAAAAACTTGTTTGCGATGGTGGCGAAAAAAACTGCATTCTTTCTTGGTTTAGTTTTAGAGATCCTTAGAAAGTATTCAAATACAGTATCTTCTAAAATACCCAATGTAAACCAGTGTTTCTCACCTGAGCAACTTTAATTTGTGTGGACTTCAGGTCCCAGAATTCTCCACTCCACACCAATTAAAATTGCTCAGATTGGGAACACTGATTTAGTTTAGTCAGCAGGTGCCATTTTCAGCCAGGCAATTTGCTGTTACGTCCACCGAGTGCTTTGCATGAATATTGGTTGATGTCACCTGCAGTTCTTATCAAATAGGATTTTTTTTGTTGTTGTTCTCCTTCTGCCTGTATGTTAATTGTCTCTCAATGCTTTTGTCTTGTCACTAGGCTGTTCTCTGGAGCTTCTTGCACTCGCTTAGGGATCCGTTAGAAGTAAGCTTTCAGATAAGTGAGGCCCCCACAGAGCTGATTTGGGACTCCGAAGGGGAAAATGGAACTGTCAGGAATGAAAAAGAAGAGTTTGCTATCCATCAAAGAAAATAATAAAAAGTCCAGCACTAGGTAACCACTGTCTGAATTTTCAAGGCCTAAATTCTCCCAGGGACTGGAGGAGGGGTGGGTGGGAGAAATCTTTGCAGCTTACTAGGACTTTCCTGGGGAGCATGAGTACAGATAATGCTCGACTTAACGACCACAGTGGAGCTCTATATTTCTGTTGCTAAGTGAGGTTTGCCCCATTTTATGGCCTTTCTTGTGTTAAGTGAATCACTGCAGTTGTTAAGTTAATAACACAGTGGTTAAGTGAGTCTGTCTTCCCCCATTGACGTTGCCTGTCAGAGAGTCATCAGAGGTGACATTGCAACTGTCCTAAATCGGAGTCAGTTTGACAAGCTTCCAAATTTTAAAACCACGACCGTGAAAATGCTGCAGTGGTCATAAGTGTGAAAAAAGTCCGTAAGTCCCCCCCCCCCTTTTTTTTTTTCCTCCAATGCCACCGTAACTTCCAACGGTCACTAAACGGGCGGCCTGCAGTTAGAAATGCTTCTCTTGGCTCCTTTCATAATCTTCCTTACGTGGCTCTGCATTTCTTTGAACCTGCCCCGATAGGGTGCAGGCTGGGAATTCCGCGACCTTCTCATCGCCTCGCTTTCGTTCGGCAGCCGAAGTTAAGACGATAACTTTCTGGCTTTTCTGTTAAAGGGCTCCCTCTCCGACCAAGCGCAAAGACCGGACCGAAGAGAAATCCAAGGACCGGTCCAAGGACAAACCAGCCACAAAGGAGTCCGGCGAAAAAGACCGCGGGCGCGACAAAACCCGCAAAAGGCACAGTGCCTCCAGCGGCAGCAGTAGCACCAGGTACACGGAATCCTGGGATCCCCGAAAAAGCGTACGAAAGGCAGGCCCTGCGTTTGTGGCTTCTGGGGAACTAGAAACTCACTTCCTGAGGAGTTCTTGTGGGGAGACATGAGTTTCAGAGTTCACTTCAAAGCTTATCCCATAACTGGATACGGGGCCCCGAGGATGTGAAGGGCCCCATTTCCTGCCTGTGTTAACACAAATAGTAACAGTTTTACTCAGTGCCGTATATATTTATTTGCCACTGTTTGAATAGTTTTCGTGGTTTTTATGTTTGATGGTGTACACTACCCAAAGTCACTTGTTTGAGATGGGTGGCTGTAGAAATCAAATCAACTAAATTGTTACTTATTTCCATTCACCGCGTGCTGAGGAATGTTGGAGATCGTGACCAAGAAGGGGCTTCTACTGGTCTGGTCTTAGCCTCCCATTCCTAACTGTTAAGGTTTTGATAGAAATGATCC